GGAACAAATATCCCGAGGCTTATATTGTTCACTATATGGGTGACATTCTCTTAGCTCATGAAAATGAAAGGCATCTAAATAATATCTATACAGATTTTCAGGATTCCCTGCATTGTGCTGGATTATGCATAGCACCTGAAAAAGTTCAAAGGACATTTCCTTTTTCTTATCTTGGCAGCATTATTGAGGGAAAAACAATAAAACCTCAGAAAATTCAAATTCGGACTGACACTTTACTTACATTAAATGACTTCCAAAAATTATTAGAAGATATTAACTGGGTTCGACCTGCTTTAAAATTAACCACTGCTGACTTCAGCCCTTTATTTCATATACTCAGGGGAGATTCATCCCCGTCATCCCCACGCTGCTTGACAGAGGAAGCCAAGACAGCCTTACATAAAGTTGAGGATGCCTAAACTTCAGCACAACTTCCTAGAACTGATTACTCCCTTCCTTTACTGGTTTTGATTTTCCCTACTACGCATATACCCACTGGGGTCATTTGGCAAGCTCCTGGAGTTATTGAATGGCTATATTTAGCTCATTCTCCAACTAAAGTATTAACTCTTTCCATGATTCAGTTTCCCAGTTAATAGCTCGAGCCCGCCTTCGAACAGGCCAGTGAGTGGGCCGAGACCCTAACCTTACTATAGTGCCATTTACAGCTACACAGCAAGACTGGCTCTGGCAACAATCAGCAATTTGGCAAATTGCACTTGCTAATTTCTCCGGACAGGTTGTAACCATTATCCAGCAAATAAGGTTTTACAATTTCTCTCAGTTACTACCTTTACCTTCCCAAAGATAGTGAAGTCACAACCTATACCTCAGGCATTAAGCATTTTTACAGATGGATCCAGTTCTGGAAAGGCTGGATACTACTGCAGCAGAGGTGCAAAGGTCCTTCAAACCTCTTATATTTCAGCACAATGGGTAGAAATACAAGCTCTTATCTATGCCTTGACAGATTTTGCTACGGAGCCCATTAACCTATATAGTGATAGTGCCTATGTGGTAAGTATGGCCAAAATTATTGAAACGGCTACTAGAGGGCACACTAATTTGGAGGAACTCTTTCATTTATTTTTCAACCTTCAAAAAGTCATTAGAGAACGACAATTTCCCTGCTTTATTGGTCATATCCAATCTCATTCAGGTCTCCCTGGTCCGTTAGCTATAGGCAATGAAACTATTGACCACCTCCTTGCTGTAATGCAAGAGGCTACCCCATTTTTTCTTGCTCAGTCCTCCCATGCTTTGCATCATCAAAATGCTGCTGCCCTGTGTAAACAATTTCGTATTTCTCGGGAGCAAGCTCATCAAACTGTTAAGCAGTGTGATCAGTGTGTAATTCATTGCCCTGTACAATCGTTGGGGGTTAATCCTAGGGGTTTTAAACCTAATCAAATCTGGCAAATGGATGTCACCCATGTACCAGAATTTGGTAAGCATAGATGGGTACATGTTAATATAGGTACCTGCCCCCACTTTATCTTTGCGACTCCCCAAACAGGGGAAAGTGCCAAGCATGTAATTAATCATTGCTTAGCCGCCTTTGCCGTACTAGGTCCTCCCTTAGAGCTAAAGACAGACAATGGACCCACATATGCTAGCTCTGCTTTTCAGCATTTCTGTCAGCAATATCAAATTGGTCATAAAACTGATATCCCTTACAACCCTCAAGGTTAAGCAATAGTGGAAAGAGCCAATCATACTCTTAAAATGCAATTACTAAAACAGAAAGGGGGAGACGGATGTTATGTGTCACCTCAAAACAAACTCAGTCATGCTCTTTATACTTTAAATTTTTTGAATTGCTACACAGAGGGTTGTACAGCAGCCGAAAGGCATCGGGCCTCCGGTGCAATAGCCTCCGCTGACTTAGCCTGGTGGAAGGATGCACAAACCAGACAAGAGTTTTACCAGATTCAGTAATGATGTGGGGAAGAGGTTGTGTTTTGTATCTTTCCAGAAGGAGCAGCACAGCCAATTTGGGTGCCAGAGCATTATGTGCGTCACCACCATGGACCCAGAGAAGCTTCTTGTCCCGTCGTTCCAAAGACTGAGAGTTGCCCCGGTGACAGCAAAGCGGAACAAAGAAAAGGAAGGCTACACAAGGGACTGAAATGCCAGCATGGGGCCAGCTGAAGAAGTTAACAACCGAGGCCCAGCAGATGGTAGAAAAGCAAGAAGTGGAAGCTACTCCCTCAGCCATGTGTCTGGCTATGCTAGCATTGGTCCGCTGCCAGACTTCTGCAAAGTCTTGCATAGCCAAGTCCGAGGACCATGAGTAAATGAGCAAAAGAAACTTTCATTTAGTAGAAAAACATTACTGTAGTTTGCTTTCTCACTTATTGCTGTATTGCATTGGCATTGTTTTGTTAATAGCCAGAGCTTTATTCTTGCTTGATGTTTAAGTTTTAAAATGTTAACAGGTCTGTAGTTTGGGTTTTACATTGGCATTGTTTTGTTATTGTTTTAATAGTCAGAGTTTTGTCCTTGATGCTTAAGTTTTACTTTTATTATAGTAGCTTAAAAATAAAAAAAAAAAGGTGAGATGTAGGGAGCAGCTATAGGGTTAAGCCTCAGACTGACCTGTTGGCAAAGCCACAAACAAGTCCCAGCTTAGAGGGCACAGCCCTCTTAGCATAATTAGGCTTGACCTTATGAGGCTCCCTAGATATTATCTGGGTAGCTAATGGGCTGAGGGAAATGTAGCAAGTGCTGCCAAAAGAAGTGAAACTCACAAGAACATTGTAACTATGGTGACCACTACCTTGTTTACCTCTGTCTATAAAATAAAGGCTCAACTTGCTGTCTGGATCTCTCTCTGTGGCCTCAGCCAGGCGCAGGAAGATCTACCTAGACCCAGCTTATTCTCTTTGTCTGTCTTTTCTTCATCCTTTACTGCCCTCCCTCGGGCTTTCAAACCCTTGGCTGAGCTGGCACGGCACAGGGGATCAAGCCCACAATCCAGAAATGTGCTCTCCTGGTTCATAGATTGATGGTCAACCACTGAGCCACACAAGCCAGGCTATTTATTGATCTTAGAGAGAGAGAAGAAGGGAGAGGGAGAAGAAGAGGGGGAGAGAGAGAGAGAGAGAGAGAGAGAGAGAGAGATTGATTTGTTGTTCCATCTATTTGTGCATTCATTGGTTGATTCTTGTATGTGCCCTGACTGAGGGATCAAACCCACAACCTTGGCATCTTGGGACAACACTATAACAAACTGAGCTCCTTGGCCAGGGCACATTGGTTTGTATTTAATTTTCAGAATTACTAGCAGTATTGCAATGAACATCTTCATAGCTAAATGCATGCATTCCATGGTTATTTACTTAATGTAAATTTTCAAATGAAAGAATATTTTCTGACAGGTTCATTACTATTCCCAACCCCTTGCAATGCCACGAAGACCTCCAGGTGGCTGGAGCTGGTGCTTTGGCTCCCGCAACAAAGGCACCACAAGACCGCGTCTGCTCAGCTGTGGGCCTCCAGATATACAAGACAAGTTGCATGCATGGATCGCATTTCACTTTTCCCTGAGACTGCTCTCAAACTACAGTGCAAAGATCTTTTTAGAAAAGATGTAGACACCTGGGACAAGAAGGAAGGAAGGAAGACCACAGCACCAGTTTGAAAGCTGGAAAGCAGGCAGACAGGTGCAGCTAACTCAGCAGGCCCGAGGAAGCTCACCGTGGCCGTGAGCACACGTGGGCTCCAATCTGATCGACTGCGCTGACTAAGGAGCAAAAGGCTAAGGAGCCATAGCAAATCGGGTGCTCGCCCGTGTCACCCTTGTCATTGTGCTGGGCACTAACTGTACAAGAATAAACAAGGTGAGTTAGAATTAGCCTCCTCTTCCTCATAACACGGTGGAACTTGTCAGGAATACACAATTCCATAGCACCTGCAGCGTGGGAAAGGCGCCCTCGGAACTGTGCAGGGCACAGCCCTGCCGCCCCCTGGCCTGGAGCACCAGGTGCCGCCGAAGGAAGAGGCGGATGAGGAGGCTGTTGTACAATATGAAACATTGGCTGAAACGCGGAAAACAATTCAGCCTTGCCTGGCAAAGACGAACATGCACGTACTGCACAACAGAGCAGGAAAAACGATGTCAAATTCATTCAGTTTTTGAACAAATACTAACTGAGCACCTATACTAGTAAGTTCTCGTCATTGTGCTGGGCACTAGCTATACAAGAATAAACAAGGTACCCAGACCTCTACCCTCTCAGAAACCACCAGGATTCTACATCCCAAGGCAGCTGTAAAGAGTGGCGATGTTGCTCTCTCTCTCCCTCTTCTTTCCTCTATAAGAATAAATAAAACATATTTTAAAAAAAAAGAATGGGACTGAGAGACAAGACAGATCCCTCCACTCCAATGTCCTGTGATTTTGTGTTGCTAGCCCCTAGCTCCTTAGTCCCAGTATCACCAATCACCTTCTCAGGACCACAGCTCAAATCCTCACTCCTCTGAGATGCGCAATTCTGGGGTCGCTAATTGCGCTCAGCAGAATTAGCTGCTTGTCATCACACAGCGAGATAGCCAGGGCCGCACGCTTCTGCTCTCAGACACAGCAGCACTTAGATAACCCCACCCTTGTTGTTTTTCTCTCCAGAGCGTTTCTGGGAGCACAGATTGTCCTATGACAACTCCAGGAGGACACAGTGTCCCCATGCAGGAACTGCTGGGACCAGCTGGGACCAACCGTCAACAGCCGCAAGGCCCTATGGGTACAATATTTTGTGGTTCCTCAAAAAATTAAACAGACTGCCCTCTTTCGCCCTGTGGTGCTCTCTCCTCCCCCTGGTCAGAGCCATTCCACCTGAGAACATCAGAAGCACAGACGTCAGAGGCGCTGATGTTCTCAGCTGATTCTGACCTTGAACCTTGGGGATGGCTGCAGGGGTGTGGCTAGCAGTGCAGCCTGGCCCACGCCTTTGCTGGCTGAGACTCTCGTTGGGGCACTGACCCGTGCCCAGGGCGGAGTTCGTTATCCCCAGGTTACTGAGGAGCCAGAGGTGGCCGGGAGCTCCAGGCTGAAATTGTGCTGAGCTCTGGGGACTCTGGGAGAGATTGGTGTGGGCGGTCCCAGAGCCACAGCCCTTCCCTGGCGCTTGGTGAGTGTGGTTCTCCTGTGCGCAGGTGGTTCGGTCCTGCCAGCGGGCAATGAATGGGTCTTGGAGAAGCTGGTGATTATTTATTTTTATTCATTCATTTCTAGTTTTAGAGAAAGACAAATACCATATGATTTCACTCATATGTGGAATTTAATGAACAAACTGAACTACCAAGCAAAATAGAGACAGACTCAGAGAGAGCAGGCAGACAGCTCTGTTGGTTTGGGGTGTGTTGAACAAAAAAGAAAAAGGAGAGAGGGAGAACTCATGGACGTAGACAACAGTGTGGTGATTGTGGGTGGGTGGGTGGAAGAGGTCATAGAAGGGATAAATGGTGATGGGGGAAAATTAAATTAAATTGTCCTGGCCTGTGTTGCTGAGTGGTTAGAGTGTCGCCCCACACACTGAAGGGTCTCAGGTTTGATTCCTGGTCAAGAGCATGTACATGGCTTGCAGGTTCAATCCCTAGCCCCGATTGGGGTATGAGTAGGAGGCAACCAATTGATGTATCTCTCTCACATAGATGTTTCTCTCTCTCTCTCTTTTTCTCTCCCCCACTCCCTCCTTCCCTTCCATTCTCTCTAAACAGTCCATGGAAAATGGAAAAAATATCCTCAGGTGAGGATTAAAAAAACAAAGTAATAAATACATTAAATTAAAAATAAAGTAATACTATTAGAATGACTATTTTTTTAAATCTTTATTGTTGAAAGTATTACATATGTCCCCTGAGAATGACTATTACTTCTTTTTGAAATATATTTTTATTGATTTCAGAGAGATAGGGAGAGGGAGAGAGAGAGAGAAAGATCAATGATGAGAGAGAATCACTGATTGGTTGCCTCCTGCACGCCCCCCACTGGGGATCAAGCCCACAACCCAGGCATGTGCCCTTGAATCGAACCTGGGACTCTTCAGGTGCAGGCCAATGCTCTATCCACTGAGCCAAACCGGCTAGGGCTATGACTATTATTTTTTTAAAAACATAGAAAATAACAAGTGTTACAGATGTTGGGGAAAAATGAACTGACTTCTGCGCATGAGCCACGAAGTTTCAATCGCACTGTACCTGCGTGCCCACACGTGGTATTTTGTGGAAGAGCCACACTCAAGGGACCAAAGAGCCGCATGTGGCTCTCGAGCCACAGTTTGCCGACCACTGGCTCAGACAAATCAACAGGACCAGCTGGACCGGGTCAGGATGGCTCAGCCTCCCGGGGGAGGGGCCCCGCAGAAGTGAAGGGAGAGGTCAAGCTCTGAACTGCTAGCAGCAGAACCCATTCCTGAAGATACAAGCAAAACAATTTTTATCACCCTAGCCGGTGTGGCTCAGTGGATAGAGCGTCGGCCTGTGGAATGAAGTGTCCTGGGTTTGATTCCAGTCAAGGGCACATGCCCAGGTCGCGGGCTTGATCCCCAGTGTGGGGCCTGCAGGACACAGCCAATCAATGATTCTCTCTCATCATTGATGTTTCTCTCTCTCCCTCTCCCTTCCTCTGAAGTCAATAAAAATACTTTTTTTTAAAAAATCATTTATTCATATATTTCTGTAAATTTAGAGAAGAGCTAGAGTACTTGGTTTGAAAAACAGACAAGAAAAAGAGAAGCTAAGGGAGAAACGTGGCCAGGGTCACTCCACAAAGCCAGACCTGCGGGGACAACACTGCTGCCACCATTGAGGCAGGAGAGCCCAGCAGCCCGGCAGCCCGGCCCTGGGCGGAGCCTCTGGCCTCTGTGCACTGGCTGCTGCCCACTGCCCTGCCCACCCAGACAGAACCCCCCCTCTCTGGTCAGCCTTGACAGCAGGTCCTTACTCGAGCCTGAGCATCCGTCTAAAGGGCTGAGCCTGGGCCCTGGCCACATCCCAGAGGAAGAAGGCAGAAGGCAGGAGGCTGGCAGTTCTAGCGTCTCCTCTGGGAGGCAGACGGTGACATTCATCAAAATGCCTCCACGGGAATTCCCCAAAGAAACCAAGGGAGATGCAGAGGCTGGGCAGCCAAAAGTGATGCCACTGCCAGCGGACACTTGCCAGCTCCGAACCCAGGAGACTGGCGGCCTAGGAAAGAGAAGGCAGCCCTCGCCCAGTGCCACTGGCTCTGGGGGCTGTGGGGGAACTATCTCCGGCTCATCTAAGGCCCAGCTGTGGGGCCCTGAGGCCCAGGGATCCTGGAAGCAGTGTCAGCCGTGGCCTCCAGTGAGGTCTCAGAACATCTCTGACACTTCCAGACCCGCTCAGAAACCCGCTCACCCTCTGTCCTACTTCCTCTTTCTTTTTAAATCCTCATCTGAGCATATGTTCTTATTGATTTTGAGAGAGAGAGAGAGAGAGAGAGAGAGAGAGAGAGAGAGAGACATCAATGGGAGAAACAGCAATTGGTTGCCTCCCAGTATTTGCCCCTACCGGGGATTGAACCTACAACCTAGGTATGTGCCCTGACTGGGAATCGAACCCGCAACCTTTTGGTGAACCAGATGACACTCCAACCACCTGAGCCTCCTGCCAGGGCTGTCCTACTTCCTTTGAGTGCTGTGTTCTCCTTGGCCCTTTCCTAAAGCCAGTCAGCAAACCTCCAGGTGCCTGGTAGTCATCCAGGTGTTTTCACAGTCAGTCCCTGCCTTCCTTTGCACCAGGTGCAGGTGGCGGCAGCCGTACTGACCCAGAGTGTGGGAGAGACAGCAGCCCGAGCTAGGGAGGCCCCGCCGTCTTCGTTTGGCCAGCCTGGTGGCCTCATGCTGTAGAGCATGTGAGTGGCATCAGCGTCAGGAGTGAGCAGGGAGAGGACAGCACATGCATTGGGCATCTATTGTGCTACAGCCGTGGTGGCATCATCACGGACGGTTATTGCACGTTTACTCTGCCCTATATTGTGCTAAGTGCTTAACATGCACCATCCCATCAAACCCTCAGAGCAACTCTGTGAGCTGAGCATCATCATTCCCATCTTCCAAAGGAGGTCAAACCACCCAGCGGTCAGCAGCAGAGCCAGGCTTCCAAACCAGGTTTGCCTGACTCCCACGCAGAATGCCTCCAATAGGCAGAGGCTCAGGCTGGCCCCAGGGCCAGAGCCGGGCAGGCTGGGCCAGACCACGGCAGTGGGGCCACCATCCTGAGAGCACCTTGGGAGGAAGCGGGATGGAGAGAGGAGACCCCAGAACTCTCCCCAGGCCCGGCCCTCAGTGCGAGTTCTGGGTTTCTGAGGAAAGCCTGCACCCCACTAGGAAGGAAAGGCCGTCAGGGTGGACTTGCAGACCCGGGTCAGAGGGAACAGCCAGGATGTAAGTCATTTGGGACGAAGGCTTGGACTGGCTCTTCTCTGAGGCTCTGAGCGGGGGAGGGAGAGATCACTCCAGAGGCTGCCTGGGGCCCAGCTCCTCTTCCCCTCTTTACCCAGCGGCTGGCCCCTAGGCAGGCCACTCGGCTCGACAGGAGGCACCTGCTTCATCCAACCTTCCAGGACCCACCTGTGTCTCTAGGCCTCGCTCCTCAACTCTGGACGCCAGGGAGTACCATCCAGAGTCTCTGAGGTAAGTATGTCTGTTTTCCAATGGGAGGGAGGCTGGGGTAGAAGAAACCAAAATCCACAGGAATAAGTCGAGTGGAAGGCACAGGAGAATGAAAGCAGGAGGGCCCGTCTCCCCACCGTGCCAGGAGCTCTCCAAGCCAGGGCCAGTCCTGCTCACCTCAGCGGGCCCCTGGGGTGGGGGAGGCAGCAACAGACTCAGACTGCGGATGCCCAGCACAGTGACGGGCACACCGGGGGCACTGAGTATTTGTTGGCGAAGCGGAGGGAGTGGATGGCCTATTTTGTCTTCAGATAATGTGTGACTTCTTTTTCCACTTTCCCCTTAGCACACTCGACTCATCTCCCCTGCCCTGGAGTCCCCCAGTCTCCCCTGCTGCCCCTGCTAAGCTTTGCCAAGCTGTGGACCAGGAACCCCCTCAGTCCCAGCAACACCACAAAGTCACAGGGCACCCGGGCTGGGCTAGTTTCTTAGCAGTTTTATTGAGTAGCGAGAGGTAGCGTCATTTTCCACAGGACATGTGTCCTCAAACTCATAAGGGAATTGCTTTGGGACAGACCGACAGACAGGTGGCAGGGCGGGGCAGGTGTCCAGGGCCCGGCGTGGGCACCAGGGGCAGCTCAGCCCCCCAGGGGTGCCTGCTCCGGGGTCTGCTCGGGGAGGGGGGGCGCCAGGGGCTGGTCCTGGCCCTCCTGCAGGGGCTGGTCCTGGCCCTCCTGCAGGGGCTGGTCCTGGCCCGCCTTCTGCAGGGAGCTGAAGAAGGAGTTCATCTTGTCCCTCAGATCCTTCTCCAGAAAGATCAGGTGGCCTTGCACGTCCCCCGAGCGCGGGTCCAGCTTCTCGTTGAGCTCCTTCACCTGCTGCACCAGGATCTTGTTGAAGGCCTCGCCGTGGGGCTCCACGCTGCTGCGGAACTGCTCCACCTTCAGGTCCAGCTGGCGGCCGAGCTGGGCCAGGGACTCCTGCAGCCCCGCAGTGCCGCCCGCCAGCTTGCCGCGCACGTCCTCGGCCAGGGGCGCCAGGCTCCGGCCCAGCTGATCCACGTCGGCTTGGAGCTTGTTCTTCAGCACGTCCGCGTTCTTCTTCATCTGCAAGGCCAGCCCCTCCAGCTGGCGGTTGAGATTCTCCTCGGCGTTCTTCGCTAAGGGCGCCAGCTTTTGGCGCAGGACATCCACGTGCTGGTCGATCTGCTCCTTGAGGTTGTCGGCGTAGGGCGTGAGGTGCCCCTTGAGCTCCTTCACATTCTGGTGGATCAGGCCCTGGAGCTCGTCGGCCACGGGCGCCAGCGAGGCCTGCAGGTTGTCCTTCTGGTCGCGCAGCATCGTCTCCATGCGCTCTGCGTAGGGGCTCAGCTGGCTCCGGAGCTTCTCTGTCTGCGTGCGGACCTGGGTGCGCAGCTGGTCGGCGTAGGGCCCCAGGCTGTCCTGCAGGTTCTGTGCTCCGCTGTTGATCAACTGGCTCACCTCCTGGGCGTGCGGCTGCAGCTGCTTCCCCAGCACCTCCAGGTCCATTCTGATCTTCTCCTTCAGCTGCACCGAGTCCTCGGTCAGGCGCTCGTGCAGCCTCGTGGCGAAGGGCACCAGCTTCTTCTGCAGCTCCTCTGCGTAGGCGTTCACGCCGTCCACTCTGTCCTGGAAGAGGGAGCTGCCCGAGGGGCGCGGGGCGGGGTTACCTTGGGCGTCACCCCCAACCTTGTTTCCCAACCTGGCGCTCACCCTACACACCCGGCCTAGGACCGGGGAGCTGGGGTGCCGGCCTCGCCCAGCCTTTCCCGGGCCTGTCCCTGGGTGGGTCCTGACTTGAGCAAAGGGCTGGCAGACCAGGCTATTGCCCTGAGTGTGTGTCTCAATCTCCCTTCCCGCTGGTCGCAGCTGCAGGTGCCTGGAGCGCACTGCTTTCCGCTCCCCGGCCTGTGCGAGCGGCCTTGGAGGGCCTTTCCCGTGGGGGTGCCCCGTTCTCTCAGATGTTATGTTCTGGATTCTTCCAGGGTCTTCTAGTAGCACGGGGGCTGGTTTCCTTGCATGTGCCCACCCTCAGAGCCCCCAGCGCCCTCCCTCAGACTCCACGGCCGTCCCTTGGACTGCGTTAGAAACCAGCGCAGACAACCCGCCCCCCTTCTCCCTGAGCCTCAGGCTGAGCGGTGGCATTTGCAACACTCTGGAAGTTCAAGCAGGAAGACACCTGAGGGCTTTCTCCGTGCAGCTGGCCTGTTTGCATACGTGGACTCCAGCTCGGGAGACCTCAGGGTCACAAGGAGCTGGTGGCAGGCAGTGGCTGCAGGTCTGCCTCCCAGCTCAGCCCTGACCCAGGCATTGTGTGGCCCCGCTTACTTGAGCTGCTGGGGGAGCTCAGACTTCTGGAGATCCTCCACCGCCTTCTTGGCATTGTTGCCCAGCTGCGTGAAGTAGTTCCATACCACAGTGGCCACCTGGTCGGCATTGACCTCAGCCCGAGTACCTGGGCAGGAAGCAGAGCAGCTCATGAGACCAGACTCCTTCCTTGTCCCTCCCGTTCACCTGCGCTGCAGCCGGTTGGCAGTGGGCGTGTGCAATTGTATGGCACCAAGGCCAGTGGGCTGCAGCTGTGAAGGCGCCAGCTCTCCCTGAGCCAAGTGGCTACTGGGCAGCCCTCGTGTCCGGCCGGGGCCGACAGGCACTGGACTGTCCCCTTGCCTGGGCCTCCAACTCTTCACCCTGCCCCACATCCAAAGGCAGCTGCTACTCACCGGTGACAGCCACCAGGGCCAGCGTCAGCACCACGGCCTTCAGGGTCAGCGACATCCTGGGCTGCTCGCGGGCGGCCGAGCCTCCTACCACACCGGACTCTTCCTGGAACTGGAGCAAGAAGACAGGCTCTCGGGTGGCTCACCTATCCGAACTGACCAGCCGGGGCCAGCCAGACATTTAAACCCCCAGGCCACCCCCCCCCACGGCCCCTCCCAGAGGGACTCCACGCTGGAGGGTGACACATTCCCAGGAGGCCTCTTGGACTTTTGTGACTCTAAGGTGACGTGGAAGCTGACAGCAGACGGGCTTGGGCAACAACCAGAAGCAGCTGTTCTCTGCTTGTGCCCCACCCAGTACGAAGGGAAGCAAGGGAGTGTGCGCTGGGAGTGTGAGGCCCAGGAATGCCTGAGTCCAGGACAGGTGTCCCCAAGGCCCAGCTGGCAGCTCTGGGCCAGTGCCAGGCTTGGGGGGCAAAGTTCACACCTCCTCTGTCTACCCCAGGGGAAAGAGAGCACCCCCACCTCCCAACGCCCCAATCTGACTCCATCTCAGAGCACCAGACACTTGACTGGGACACCCAGGGCCACAGATCGGGGCAGCGAGCTAAGGTCCAGAGTCCTGGTCAAGTGCGCTGAGGTGGACGGGCCTGGAGAGCCTCGGGCAGGCCCCGGCATGGAAGGGGTTAACTGTGAGTTTGCCTCCTGTCCCTCCCTGCAGAGCCGTGTCACCTTGGTCTAGTGATTCAACCTGGCCCAGCGCAGAGCCCGTTCTCTTTGAAAATGGGGTTGTCGGGTATATAAAACGAGATGTGTCTTGTGAAGTAAGCAATACAGTGCCTGGCACAGGCTAAGCACTAACAAGCTGCTGATGGTAAAAGCATTGTTTTCCTGATTTGGACCAAAGAATGCTCACCCCTCCAGTGAGTGTGGCAGAGTGAGACTCGGCCCTCTGCAGGTCGCCAGGGGTTACAAGGCAGGGTGACAGCAGGGCAGCCCAAGGCTGGGTCCTGTCCACCTGCCCTGCCACACTCCCTGGACAGAAGTGGTCAGCCTTTGGTGAATCTTGGGACCTGAGGCTCTCAGGGGGCCTTCACGGGGGGGTGGGGGGGGGCGGCGAGAGGGAGGAGGGGGAGGCGTCCAAGGCGTCTTCTACTCGGGCTTCTAACATTCTCTCCAAATGAGGTCTCACACAGACACCCACCCTCCGGGACCAGGAGCCGACGTCTGTCATACCGTGCGGTTGGCTCCCTGGGCACAGCGCCGCGTGCTCCTGGCTAACTGCCGTCAGACCAGACGCCCCTGTGCGCACCCTGACCTGCCACCTCCATTCTTCCCATACCAGAGTGGCCTGATGTCTCTGCGGGGGAAGACAGCTAAAGGCCTGCTGCTCACAGCCCTTCTGCTGACCACAGCGCCCCCCCCCCCCCCACACACACACTTCCCAGCCCCCAGCGTCAGGGAGCCCCTCCTGGAGCAGCCGGGCTGTCCAACAGTAGCTGTTAAGGGCTCAGATTCTGGGGTCAGACGCCCTGGTTATACATCTGGGCTCCCCACTTACTGTCTTTGTGAACTTGGGCAAGTCTTTTAACCCCCCTGAGCCTCAGCTGCCTCTTGGGATGAGGATTCCCTGAGAGAATCTGTGTGATGCTGGGAACAAGGCCTGGTGCGTGGCCTTTCAGGGTGTGTTGCCCCTGAAAGACTGACCCCTGCTGCTCCGGAGGCAGGCACGGTCCAGCTGGGTGCTCAGCGCCCCGTCCCAACCCCTCCCCCGGCCCAGACACGAGGAGAGCAGTGAATCACGAAGGACACCTCAGCTGCAGTTTGACCTCCTGGACTTGCAGTCCCAGCAGCAGCATGTGGCAGGCTCAGAGTGCGCCCACCTCCTCGCTGGTCTCCGCGCGGAGCCTGTGCTGAGTGACTGTGCCTGAGCGGCTGCAGGTCGCACACAGGCACACATGAGCATGCGTGCAGATGAGCGGTCTGCGGACACACGGCTCAGGCCTGGAGCAAAGGGCTGGCGCAGCCTGGCGCCTGCACCCACAGACATGGGTGGCCGTGCTGCCTCCTGGTGTGTGGTGTGTGGCACTCCATTAATGGTGCATGTATTGCCCACTGTGGGCATATTTCTTTGGCTGTGAATGGCTTAGTGCTGGGGGCGGGTTTAGAGGGTGCAAGTGCTGATGGATAGCACAGAGTCTGCCTCTGCGGGCCTCGGGTTCTCTTTGGCCCTGGCCCTATGAGTCTGGGGACGGCCACCTTGGTGGGCACAAAGGGCCTGTGTGATGTTGGGCGAGTCTCATTCCTCTCTGAGCTCAGAGGTCTCCTTGATGTACAACAGACAGACCTAAAGGCTTGTGAGGTGACCAGGCTGATAGTCTAGCATCACCGATAGCCACCCTCCTGTCCTCCCACTGGGGTCAAACCAGGGGTCAGCCCAGAGAGAGGAGCCAGGAGGGGACCCCCCCAGGCCCAGTTAGGTACAGGCTCAGTGAGGGGCAGGCCTAGCCAGGAACAGGCTAGTCACATGGACGTGTGTCCCCACAGATATTCCACATTGACCTTATCTCAAGGAGAACTAAGGGGGTCTTCTTCTGTTATAATAGGAAGGATCTGGGGAGAGACGAGGTTGGACTTCCAGTGTGGAGAGGCGGTGAGCCAGGACCTCTGCTGACGGGCGGAATCAAGGCTGCCAGGCCAGCCTAGTGGCAGGAATAGGATCACGGGGGCTCCTGGACACAAGTGGAAGCAGAGAGAGTCAGCCCAACACTCCTCCCTGGCCCCTACCACACACACACACCACACACACACACACCCTGGGTACTCCCCAGAGTTGGTCTGTAGGCTAAAGTAATCTCTTTAATCGAGGGGAGCCAGGTAGGAAGGAGGGAGAGGGAAAAGGAGAGCGGGGCCTGATAGGACCCTGCCCTGCCCATTGAGACAGCCCCTTCCCTACAGAGACCCAGGCTCCGAGCTGCTAGGCGGGCACAAGCGCTCACAGGTACCAAGCCCTTAGGAGGCGATGGGTCCCAGGGGTCAGGGCATGCGCTGACCAGCTGCATGGGCCCATGCACCTGCTTCTGCACCCAGCTCGGCACCACCTGCTGGGTCGCTCTGCCCGCAGCTTCTCACCTGCCTGGGCTCAGCGGGCACTGCCATGCAGGACAGAGAACAGACTCCTCACACCCCTCATGTGGAGGTAGAGAGGGAGGAAGCAGGGCTGAGGGATGCAGCCATCCCACCTCAGCACACCCTGGGCGGAGGTGCTGTGCCTCAGCCCCGCCTGGACTCTGGTTTCTGCTGTGCCTCTCACTCTTGGGATGAGGAATAGGCCAGAGCAGAAGAGGGAGGTAGGCAAAATTGCCTGCTGCTTCCCCAATGCCCAAATCTTTTTTGTTGTTGTTGTTGTTTTGTTAATTCTCACCTGAGGATATTTTTCCATTGACTTATTTTATTTTATTTTTAGAGAGAGTGGAAGGGAGGGGGAGAGACAGAGAGAGAAACATTGATGTGAGAGAGACACATGGATTGGTTGCCTTCTGCACGTGCCCTGACCAGGGCTGGGGATCAAGCCTGCAACCCAGGTATGTGCCCTTGACTGGAATCAAACCTGGGATCCTTCAGTCCAGGGGCTGATGCTCTATCCACTGAGCCAAACCGGCTAGGGCTAATCACCTTTCTCCCACCCCACCCCCAACTCCATCAGCAAAACCTGTGCTCAGAAAGAGGCCTGCAATGAATTGAGGCCTGAGTGACTGATACACCTCCAGGAGCTCATCCCTCCATGCCGTTTGGTACCAGCGTGGGCGTTTGAAGACCTGGGTTGTGCTTCCCAGTGCTGCTGAGCGGCTGTGCTCTTGGGTACATCTCCGTCCCTTTAGGTTTCTTACCTATAAAATGGGGTTAATCTTGTCTACTACATGGGAATCTGAATAATTAAATTTTGACAGAAAACAAGGTCTAGGCCAAAGGAATGAGTGTCTAATAGAAAAATTTCGAGCCTCAGCCATGAGTAAAGAATTTTGCGGGTAGGGCCAGGCCATTTTCCCAGGCTCTGATTTCACACTGTGGGGCTGGTTACTTCTTCCTGATGGGATGGCTGCCTGCCAAAAGCCAGTCCCTCCATCGGAAGCAGCCCTGCCTCTCGATGTGGTGTCAGGGGAAGGGCAACGCGCTGGGAGGAGGGGAGAGAGAATGAGGGCCCCTGCGGGGGTCAGCACTTTGTCCCTCTCCTGTACTCTTCACTGAGCGCTGGCCTATCAGGGTTCTCTCCCCGTTTACAGAGGAGGAAACTGAGGCTCTGAAATGCTAGCCCTCTGGTCCTGGGCCCTGAGTAAATGCCAGAGGCATCATTGAGACCTAGGATTTCTTGGCTCCAAAGTCTTAGCAGCTAGAACTCAAAGTCCCCCGATCTTGCCATCCAGGCCATGGCTCCCGCTGTGGGCCCTGGGGACACTGCCCCCAGCCCGCCTGTCTCCAGGACAGCCAGCTGACCCTGCAGAGCGTCTCGGTGCCCTCCGCCCACCAGACGGGCCTCCTCCAGCCTTGCTCTCCGCCAGGTGCCCAGCAGCCAGTGCTGCCATTTCCAAGCCGAGGATCCTGTGGTGAGAGGTGCTCGGCGCTGGAATTGATCCCAGTGGGGAAGGCCCAGCCAGGAGCCCTGCTGCTCTCCCGGGGATGTTATCAGTGGGTCTAGAGAGCAAGGTGAGGAGCGGGGAGGCGGGGTGGGACAAAGGCCTTGGGCTCAGAGGCCAGAGTGGCCTTGGCCCTCCTCCCACCACCCCCTGCCCTGGGCCAGCACAGGGAGGCTTCTGGGTAAGCAGCACTGGGATTGAAGCCAGAGTCGGAGATGCCGGGGAGGGGGCTGTGTAAACTCAACTGTGTCACCTCTACGCACGAGCCTCACCCAGGCCTCTGCGACCCCCTCCAGACACCACAGCCCAATGCTCTGAGTTGTTCCCAAGCCCATTGCCCTCTCACCCCCACCCCACCCCCTAGTCCGGGCTGTTATCAGGGCTTAGGGGCGGGGAAGGGAGGGACCAAGTGTGAAGGGCAAAGGTGGGCCCAGAGGCCCCTGGCTTGTCCTGAAGCCCCTCTGCTCTCACTAGCCTCTTCCAGGGGAGCCAGGCTGCTAGGAAGGAATGGGGTCTTTCCAGACTCATACACCCCCAGTTCCTGAACCTATCTGGGCTATAGGGGTACCAGGAGAGTGGCATGGGCACCCATAGCCTTCTAGAGATTTCCCAACTCTCCCAGCAGGCCTGGCTGCATCTGCCACCCTACCTGAGGCCCTGGTCTAGACTGGTCAGCAGGTGACCTTTGCCCAGGTCACCAGATCTCTGCACCCACTGCGCCGGGGACAATATAAAACAGGTCAGAACCCTCTGCTCTGCCTGCTCAATTCCTTCCCAGCAGCAGCTCCTCCAGGTAATGTCCTGGGTGTGGCGGGGGAGGGAAGGGTGGTGGACAGGAGAGCAGGATGAGATGGGCAGAAGAGGGTCCCTGTCAGCCAGCAAAGCCTGAGAGGAGCCCAGAAAGACTTAGGGCTTGATGGAGGCCCCCCTCCGATTGCACACTGGGGGAAACTGGGGCCCATGGAGAGGAGGTCACCTGCCCAAAGCGACGGAGAAAGTAGCCCAGAGCTGGGGCTGGAGCTGCCTCCAGGTCTGCACACTTTCCTCGTCCGCATGTCACATGTGTGGGACTGGACACCCCAGTCCTATCCCTGACAGACGTCAGAGGCCCGGACAGGGCAGCTCCACCCGAGGTCACACAGCGTGTTGGTGGCAGAGATGGACCAGACCCAGGTGTCCTGATTCCGGGGCTGGTGGGTTTTCCGCTCCACCCCGCGCCTCCCTCCTGGGGGCTGTGTCTGCGTCGGGAAGACTTCACCTCCCGTATTTGAGTGTTCAGTGGGAGCAGGCTGTCCGCCTGGGAGGGGCCAGCTCGGTGCACTGGAACTCGGTGCACCCCTGCAGGCCTGGAGCTCCCCTCACCAGACCTTCCCTGCAGGGACAAAGGCGCCATGCAGCCCCGGGCCCTCCTCGTCGCTGCCCTCCTGGTGCTCCTGGCCTCTGCCCGTAAGCAGCTTGTGGGGACTCGGGCTGGGGTGGGGTGGGGGGAAGGTGGGGGCAGGTTTCTGCCAGAGGACCCTTGGGAGGTGGCTTGGTGATCTGGGGGCTGATGGGTGCCTGGGCAGGAGGCAGGGCTCCCAGCGCTGATCCACCCCCTTGGCTGCTGTCCTCTCAGGAGCACAGGAGGCGGACAAGGCCTTCCTCCTGGGATTCATGGAGGGATACATGGAGCAGGCCCAGAAAGCCCTGTCCAGTGTAAAGGATTTACCGGTGACCCAGAAGGCCAGGTACGCCCGCCCGGCTCCCAGCTGCCCCGCCCGGGACCTGCGCTCTCGGCCTCCTGCCTGGTCTACGCAACAGGCCTGTGGCCATGAGGAGAGAGGACAGGCTCTCTCCTCCTGGCCCCTCTCCCTCTCCCGCCTCCTTTCTCCCTCGGCTGTCCTGCGTGGCTTTAAGAAAGGCCTCAGTTCCCTGTCCTTTTCTAACAGCCTGGCAGGCAGTTTGCGATGCCCTCCCCCACCACACCCCATTTCAGCCCAGGGTGTGTGAGTGTTTCAGTCTTGCTCTGAGCCCGGGGCTCCACAGGAGCAGAAGTCTGTCCGTCCCCTCTGCCTGCGCTGCCCGGCACTGGGGTGTCCCTGCCAGAAGCCCCACAGACATTTTCAGTCCTCAGAACTGCCTGTGCAGAGGGGATTCTTCTCTCCATTTCACAGATGAGAAAATCGAGGCTCAGAGAGGCTGTGACCTGCCCAGATCACATAGCTGATAAACCCTCCGATGACTTTCCAAATGAGAGGCCTTTCCTTGCCCCACTCTGAGCCCCCGGGCTGTCTAACTCTAGGGGCAGCATCTGCCTAGAATAGAAAGACAGGCCCCACCCGCACTCCCGTGCCCTCACTCCCCGCCAGCTTGCCCGGCCTGGAGAGGCAAGCAAGGGACTTGAGCGAGAGTCCCATCACCACCTTCTGCTGGGGTGGAGCTGTCAGGGACTCTGCCTGAGGTCTCAGGCGGGAGGGTCCCTGGGCAAGGTTGAGGGGGAGAGGCAGTGGGGAGATGTGGGGCCCCATGGTGGCCGCTGCGGCCGGTGAGCTCTGTCCTCACGCCTATGCTCTCCCTCCTGTCTGCACGCAGCGTTTGGATGGAGGAGGGCTTCAATTCCCTGAAGGACTACTGGAGTACCCTCACGAGCCCGCTCTCCAACTTCTGGCCCCTCGCCCCTGGGGCCGCCCCGAGCACCACCCCGGCTCCGGCTGTTTAGGCCACCTGAGACCTCAACGCCCCACGCCTGCCTGCCCATCCATCCTGCCGGCTCCTTGGGTCCTGCAGCTTCCAGGGCTGCCCCCGAAGTTCGCTCAAAAGGGGCAGCATTCTCAGTGTCCTCCCCTCCCACCCCCAGACCTGGCCCCAGGCTTGCTGTCTTCCCAATAAAGCTGCTGTGAGTGGGGCGTCCCACATGTGTCATGTTATGTCTGGGCTGGGCATGGGCGGGCTGTTCTGCAGGCGGCGCTGGACCGAGCAGGCCTAGGGCCGGTGCCCTTCCCACCTCTTCGTGTCTGGGCCCGAGTTTCTTACCTGTAAGGTGGGAATAACCCTACTTACCCTGCCTGCCTCGACGGGTTTGTGTGGAGGCACAAACAGAATGCTAGTTTGACAATACTTGGAATAACTGCCAAATGCTGTACAACATGCCTTGAATGTGTGCTCTTGCCAGGCACTGTGCCTGCACTTGTATGTCCTCGCCAGAGTTGGGACTGTGTGTTCACCCTGTTATGGAGCTACTGACTTGCACCACCTGGGCCACTGGCCCTCTCAGCCACCCCTGAGGGGAGGAGGCCCCTGGGGGAGCTGTTGGGTAAGATATGACTAGGCTCTGACCTTGTCCACCAAGTATATCAGCCTCGGTTCCATATCTGTAAAGGGGTCACAACAATGCCCCCTCAATTGCAGGTTTGTTGAATGAATGAATGAATGAATGAATGGAATGAGACCGTGCTTAGCATCTGGCACATCAAAGGTAAATGGATATCATGTTGGTACAGTTTGAGCTGATTGCTCCCTTGGGACCAGGATTGGCGGGAGAGGGCCAGTGTCCTGGGAACTAAGAAGGAACCCAAGGTCACCCACAGATGGTGCTTTGCTTAGACGCTCTCATCAGAGAGTTCTAGAACCACATTCTACTTGAGCGGTCCCCCATTCTTCCAGTGAAGAAGATGAGGCTGAGAGAAGTGAAGGCCTTGCTTGCCCATGTCACAGTCAGCCTTCCCATGTCGCTGCCCAATGGCGGAGCCAGACCTCAAGCCCAGGTCAGCCGCCCACATTCTGCTCAGTAGACACAGAAAGAACCCTTACCCCTCCTATGCCAGGTGTGAAGGGCTCCCTGACCAATCTGGGCAGGGCCTGTACACCCGAACCCTCTTGGGGACATCTGCTGCCCCGGAAATCTCTGGTCCAGCTGGGCCTGTGAGCCTAGCACCACACGTGGGGAATGTTCTCACCTGGGCTGATAGCTGCTGGTGGAGGTGGTTAGTAACCAAGATGGTTAGGAACTAAAAGGCCTGTCCTTTATCCGAGAGTCCTTAAGAGAAACGAGATGGAGGAGGGGAACCGCCCAGTGGCCTGGGGAAGCCCTGCGGGGAGGAAGTGGGAAGGCTGAGTGAAGGCGCTGCCCAGATCTTTGAAGATCTGTGGGTCCTGAGCATGCACAGAGGGTGGCACGCCTGGCTGTGAAGAGGCTGGTGTGAATAGGGCTGCACACATGTGGACGTGCAGACGTGTGTATCCAGACAAACTCAGTGCTGGCCACACACGTTTTGTTAAATAGCCATGGATGCCCAGAGGCAGATGGGTTTGAAAAGGGCAACTTCTGCCACCCTTCTCTTCAACCTGGGCGGGGGCCTCCCCTCTCCAAGCTCCAGTCCCTCCTCTGGACATGGGTGTAATGGCTGTCCGCCCAGGATTTGAGAGGGATGCGGTAAGACGGTGCTGTGAAAGCATCTGGAAAATAAACTTGTGCTAACTTCCTGCAGAGGCGTGGTTGTTTTTCTGACGCAGGCCAGAGCGGGCAGAGAGGGGGTGGCAGGGCTTGGAGCCCCCTAGGAGGCCTGGCTGGCTTCACAGCTGAGGACACAGTGGGAGTGAGGGAGGGCAGCTGCCCTTGTGAAAACAGTAAAGGGAAGTGCTTAACGCTGTTTCATTAATAAAGGAGGAAGGAGCAAGGGCCAGGCTCCTGGTTTGCGCCTGCCCAGATTCCTCAAGTGCTCCCTGAGGTGCCCCCCACCTCCCCTCCTGGAGCCCGAGGCTGGGATGCTCCTGTCTCTGCCCAGGGGAGGCCTCTGGGGACCAGACCTCTTCTCCCAGCAAAACAGCCCCCCTCCCGTGCCCCTCAGACCCCGGCTGCAATCCTGCTGGGCTCCTAGGCACTTGGCATTGGATTATCCGCAGCTTTGCCTGGCCCGGTTCCTTTCTGCTTGGTCCTCCTTAGGAGGGGACGCCTACCGCCTGCACCGGCTCCTGGAGCAGGCCCCGCAGGGCTCCTAGCCGCGCGCTCCGAAGCCCGCACCCCGTCTCTTCTCCCAAGAGAGAACCGTTTGGAGACCTTTTAATTGTTTAAAAACCATTCTTGAAGCTCCAAAAAGCATCAAACCCAGCACATGCGTCCCGCTTTGTAAACGTTTATTCTCAGAAACCGAGCGATGGGAAGGGGACCGAGGTCGGGGAGGGGAGCGGGCGCCTCACTGGCCGGTCAGCCTCTGGGAGATGTCGTACAGGAAGGCGTCCTGGAGGATCTGCCACATCGGCTGCAGGTCATTGTGTATTTCCCCCAGCGTGGGCTCCGCCTGCTTGCGCAGCGAGAGCAGCTGCTCGCCCACCTGCTCCCGCAGCTCGGCCAGCCCCACGCCGCCCTCCCGCAGCGCCTGCAGGTGCTCGCGCAGCTGCTCCCCGTAGGGCTCCAGGCACTCGCGCAGCTTGCCGTTGCAGGGCTCCATGCACTGGCGCAGCTCTTCCCCGAAGGGCTGCAGGATCACGGGCAGCGAGAGCACGTGCGCACGCGCGCGATCCATGTGCTCACGCGCGCTGTCCCGCACCTTCTCGCCCAGCTGGCCCAGCTTCTCCTGCAGCACCTGCAGCTGCTTCTGCGCGCTCACACGCAGGTCCTGGCCCAGCGGCTCCACCCTTTCCTGCCACTTCTTCTGGATGCCCTCCAGGTAGGACTTCATCACCTCCGCCAGGTCCTTGTTCAGCTCCCCGGTCAGCATCCCCACCTCATTCTTCAGTTTGGCCCAGATGTTCTGGGCCACTGGGTGGAGCTGCTTTTGCAGGTCGGCGACCTTGTTGCTCAGGGTGTCCAATTTTTCAAGGACTGTCAGGCTGGGGGGAAGGGAGGGAGCAGGTGTCAGGGGGGACCTCCCAGGCACCCTGGACACCTCGGAGCTGCAGACCCAGCACCCAGCTTACCTGTGGTGAGGTCTGGGCAGAACTGCCTGCTTGTAGGGGAGCGATGGGTCAGGCCTGGGCCTGGCTTCTCCCAGGCAGTGTCTCACCCAAGGACCCTCCTCTCCCTCCCCCCCGCCCAACCACAGTCCCCAGACTGAAGAGCTAGTGGGAGACAGCTGGGTTTGGTGATCAGTCTTGTCTGTCCCCAAAGCCAGACCATTTAAAGGCCTCATCTCTATACTTCCAGACCGTTCTCCTCTGTCTCCGAAGACCGCCCTCCCTGCCGCTGGGTGAGAGGAAGAGGGGCTGGAGGAAGGGAGGGGGCTGCTGCTCGTGCAGGCAGAACTAGATCCTGGGCTCTCTGACGGGTCCCTGGTCTGCCGTCCCCCCCCCCCCCCCCCCCCCGCCTCCCGCTAGGAGGCTGTTTCTCCATCCAGGTATGGGGCCCATCAGGTAGCAGCTGGGATGCAGCCCGTGTGGCTACATCTACCCACAGGCCTGGCATCCGCCCCTCAGGACCAGCAGCCCCTGTGCCACCCAGAGCCCACGTGGGGTCCTTACTTCAGCTTTTTTGCCAGGTCGGTCTCTTCAAACTTGACTATGTACTCTCTGCCACTGACTTTGGCTGAGTTCAGATACACCTGGGCTAAAGCCGTCACTCGCTCCCATTGTGACGGGGGCTGCTCTTGCTGTGTTTCATGCTGAGCCTGGCTCCCTGGGGTGGAGAGAAGGCACCTCAGTCAGGCCAGTTCTGGGCCGGATCTGAGCGGAAAGGCCAGCTTGGGGCAGAAGAGAGGGGTCTTGAGAGAAATTCCGCTCCCTGTGCCCAGAAGGGTAGACCACGGGGGTGAGGGAGAGGGCCTCCTGATGTTGGTTGTCTAGGTTGGGAGCACTTACCTGTGAGGAAGAGCAGGGCCAAGGTGAGCACCACAGCCTTCATCTTGAGGACCTGGAGGAGGAGAGGGGCCTGGCTGAGTGGGTGCCTGTGGCTGGAGGGCCTGTGCCCCACTCTCCAGGCGGAGCAGCCTCAGGTATCCAGAGCCCAGCACCTGGCAGAGCCTGGAGCCAAGATCCCAGAGCCTGAGCTTCGAGCTGGGGGAGCCAGAGGGACTGGAGGAGGCAGTGGCATGTACCTGTGCGAGTGCTCTGAGCAGCAGCTTGCCCGGGGCCTATTTATGCCTCCAGCACGGGCTGGGCTGGGAGGCTGATCAGTCCAGCCCAGGCCTTGCCAAGGCTCACAGGTCCCAGCGGGAATCTGGAACCTAGAGTTCAAGGATCAGCTCTGACCCAGGGCTGGGCAAACAGAGTGGGCAAACAGGAAGCTGGGGGGTGGGGAGCCTGCAGGGCCAGGGATCAAGGATGCAGGAGGTAGTGGGAGGGGGTGGCTGCAGGCTTACAGGTCCCCAGGGTCTGGTCCACTGTTTCCCACTATTGTCCATTGTGCCAGTGCAGCAGGGGAGAGGAGGGAAGGAAGAAGGTCCCCAAGCTGGTCAGGAACAGCAGGAAGCCCCTGCAATTCCAGGGAGATGTGTCCGCACCCCTCCCGCCTTCCCCCACAGAGCAGACTCCCCCCTGCTGCCCTCCCTCAGCTGCAGCTTCTGCACCCCTCTCTCCCAGCCCCTGGAGACCTCCCAAGGCCTAAGGAAGAGACGTGGGGTGCTCAGAGCCACCTGGGGAGAGGGGGACAGTGCTCAGTGGCTCCCTGGCTTGGAGGTTACAGAGGCCTCTAGTATTTCCAAACAAATTCTAGAGACCAGCAATAGAGTTGCCGACTTTTAATGTTGTCATGTAAAAATCCTACCTACTGCGCCCCCCAAACCCTACATCTACCATGACCAGCACTTCAGAACAGAAAATACTTTTTAAAAGACATATTTTTATTGATTTCAGAGAGGAGGGGAGAGGGAGAGAGAGATAGAAACAATGATGAGAGAATCATTGATGGTTGCCTCCTGCACACCCCCTACTGGGGATTGAGCCCCAACCCGGGCATGTGCCCTGGAACGGAATCGAACCCGTACCCTTCAGTCTGCAGGCCAACACTCTATCCGAACTGGCGAGGGCAAGAAAAGATTTTTTAACACAAAAATAGAGCACAATCTCAGAATTAAGGACAGTCACGTAAATGGAAAACATGTATCTTTGCGTGGTTCTTATTTACATGGGATCACACACAGGTGAGAACGGATGGCGGCCCCCGGGACCACTGATGTGGGAGGAAGGACCTCAGGTCAAGGCAGCAGAACTGCTTTCTCATTTCCTTTTGCCTCCGACTTGCAAAGTCCTGGAGGTGCCTGGGGAGGCAGTTATGTGATCTCCCTGAGCCTCTGTCTTGGATCAGCAAGATGGGGACAGGCTTGTTAGGGGCCCAGGAACCTGACAGGTGAAGAGCTGTGCTCACTGATGTGCAGCGCCGTTTGTGAGGCTTCTCTCCGAAGGCCCAGCCAGCACCTCCGCGCCAGGCCACTGACAGGCCCTGAGTCACAGGACCTCTGAATGTCCACGCTGAAAGGCACTTTGAGATCAGCTGCTCCAGCCTCCCCAGCACCTTGGAATTTGCCTAATGTCTTTGGTCTTTGGTCTCCCAGGGAGTTGGAGGAAGGATAGGACCTAGAACCCAGGTCTGCGGACTTGGAACCCCCAGGCAGAAACGTGCCGTCCTGCTCCAATGCCAGATCCTGGTGTGGAGGGGCTCTGAGCCATTCCCACTGTAGCCAGTCTCGTGTCTTTCGCCTCAAAGAAGAAAGCTTTGGAGCCCGGCAGCCTTGGGCTTGAATCCCAGCTCTGCTTATCTGTGTGCCTCTGGGCCAGTTATAGAACCTTACAGAGGAGGGAAGGAAGATGGCTGCCGACAAGAAGGCAGACTGCAAGATAGTGTGTGAGTGAGAGAACGAAGGGAGAGTGTGTGGTCGCCCGGGGAGTATTTGTTTGTGAGTTGAGGGACAGCAGGGGACTGTAGGGGGCTGCCAGATGGGGTTCCCCTGACCCCCACTGCTGTTGGGATCCCTCCCAAAGCGACTGGCTCTGACCTGGAGACCGTGCCATCTTGAAGGGGAGAGTGGATGTTGTCGGATGCCTGAAAATCCTGGGAATCTACAACAATGGCACCCAGCGAACAGCTGCGAACACGGGAACACTGGTCCCCAAGTGGCGTGAGCAAGTGGGTTTGGAGGAGCTCTGCACCCCCTAATTGAAAGGTCAGATTTCACCTGGATAAGGAGAGAGAGAACTACATAACCAGACACCCGGAGAAGAGAGATCATGGGGAGACAAAGAAACAGCCCGCATATGAAAGAAAAACAGGTATCACCAGAAAAGGAAGTAAACGAAATGGAGGCAATGGAGGCAAGCAACCTGGCAGAGAAAGAATTCAGAGAACTGGTCATAAGGTGGATGAAAAGAATGGAAGACAAATTCAACAATATGTGTAAGAACCAAGAGGAAATGAAGAAGAACCAAGGAGAAATGAAAATGACATCACTGCTATAAAGAACTCAATAGAAAGCATCAACAGTAGACTAGAAGAAGCAGAGGACTGCATCAGTGAGCTAGAAGACAAGGTAGAAAAAATACCCAAGCAAAGCAGCTTCTAGAAAAACAAAATTAAAAAGCAAGAGGAGAGCCTAAGAGAACTTTGGGACAACACGAAACAAAACAAGATCCGCATAATAGGGGTGCCAGAAGGAGAGGAAACTGAGCAAGGAACAGAACCTTATGGATCAGAGTCTTACATAGTAAGGGTGCACATCTGGCAGGCAGAACAATGGGCCCCCATGTCCTGCTCCTTGGAACCTGTGACTGTTCCCTTCATGAGAGGACTTTGCAGATGTGATTATAAGGACCTAGAGATGGTGTGGTTATCTCAGGTTATCCAGGTGGGCTCAGTGCCATCCCAAATCCCCTTAAATATACTCGAGGGAGGCAGGAGAAGTGCAGTAAGAGAAGAAGGCGAGAGGGTGGAAGCAGAGGTCAGAGTGAAGTGACTGCTGGACAGGGCCAGGAGCCAAGAGTATGGGTGGCCTTAGAAGCTGCAGAAGCAAAGGACTGTGTCCCCCTAGAGTCTCCAGAAGAAATACAGGTCTGCGGACACCTTGATTTTAGCCTCGTGTGACCCCTTTGGACCTTTGACCTGCAGAACTGTCCTGGAAGATCATACATTTTGTTGTTTTAAGCACTAAATGTGAACGTGTATAGCAAAACTGAAAGGTCCCTGGCACCTTTCTGTGCCCCAGATCCCAATTTTGGCACTTGATCCCCTTGCTCCCACTGACCACACATGGTCTGACCAGAGCAGACCTTGGTTGGCTTCAGGCAGCAGAAGTGGGGGAGGCAGGGAATCCACTTTCTCCGTGTGGTCCTGACTTGCAGACACTGAGCTGAGGGATCTCTGTTCTGGGGCTGACCCAGCCCCAGAGGCCTGTGGGAGTCTCAGTGGACATTTCCTGGGCCAGCCCGGTTCTCTTCCTGTGTAGAGAGCGGGAGGGAGGGCAGCCTCCTTCTGGGTCAGCTCACAGGTAGGTGTCTGAGGCCAAGAGGGGTTACTTTCTTTCTGGGGGTAGAACTCATCCCAGCCAGTATATGGGGGCTCTCAGAAGCGTCAGGTTGGACTCCAAGCTACTTGTCACTGTTTTACCTCCTCTTTGGTTTGTTACTGAAACAGTTATTATGGCTGCACACGGTATCCGGCATTCACATCGTCCCTCGTGGCCTTCCTGATGACCTGAGCACGGCCTGTGACACTAGCGCAGAGCTGCCAGGAGCTTCCTGCCAGTCATTAGTATGTGGTGCTGGCAGGACTGGGAATCAGGCCTGGCTTCTAGTCCTGACGGTTGCCTGATGGCCAGCAGGCCCACCGCCCACAGCCCGGGCCCTGCTCAGGATGCTCACCCCCTGGCTCGGGGACTTGACGGCCTGGGCGGGAGAGTGCTGGCAAATGCACTCACTAGTGCGTCTGCTCCATTTCACTGTAGGTATTGGCTTGAACTGGTCCACGCCCCTCGTGGCTCATACTTCGGAGAGAAAGGAATCTTTCTGGGTAGAGGCCAATGGGAAACGCCGCTGATGACAGACTGGGTGCATCTCAGATTCAGATTTGGGGGCCAGCCTTTGTCAGAGGACCAAGCGGTTCAGACTAGCTGTTTAGTGGGTGCAAGGCCCACCAGCGGAGGCCCTTTGTGCTACCACGCTCTTCCCACCTCAGGGGTCTCAGAGGGACTGCTTCGGAAGTGGGTCCCCCGTGGCTGGCCCTGGACCCCCTGGCTCATGTGGGGGTGCTGCTGTTAGCCGACTCCAGGAGTGGATTTTGCTCATTTCACAATTTATGTCCCAACGTTATACTGGTCAGTCTATGCTGGGAGGACTCTGTCCCCTGCTAGGCCTGGCACGTAACAGACACTCAGCAAACATTTGCTCACTGGATGACACTGGCCCACTGACAGAAGGGTCACAGGATGACAAAGCGTCATCTGGAGGAACAGGCCTTGGGAGGAGACTCAAGAAACTCCGAGCACTCAGCCTGGGTCATGAACCCTTCTCTGAACGGCTAACCTGAGAGCATGCGGTGCGTCAGGATGGGGCCTGAGCAGGGGAGAGGCGCGCCCCTGCCAATAGTTCCTATTTGGCAATTTTGTTGCAGCTTTTGGTGATAGAGCCTCAATTTAGACCCCAGGGGAGGGCATTGTAACCAGCCAAATGCAAGATTCTCTGGCGCCCTGCTGCGTCCGCCCGCCGGGACAGGTGGTGACAGACTTCATCTGGGACCAGCAGGAGGGAGGGCTGACTCAAAAGGTGGTGACAAGCCCTGGCCGGTGTGGCTCAGTCGTTAGAGCATCGTCCTGTGCACCGAAAGGTTGTAGGTTGGATTCCCAGTCAGGGCCCATGTCCAGGTTGTGGGTTTGATCCCGGGTCCGGGCATCTACGGGAAGCAGCTGATGTTTCTCTCTCACATGGATGTTTCTTTCTCTCCCTTTCTCTTCCTCTCTCTCTAAAATCAATAAAAGAACCATGTCCTTGGATGAGGATTTAACAGTTTGTGAGATGCTGGAAGGCACCTGAGAAGTCCCTGGTTTCAGACACCTGCCCAGCTTCCCGCGGGGGTGTGGCCAGGCTCCGGCCTTCCGGGAAGACCCCTCTGGAGGAGACGGTCCCACTGCGACTTCCTAGTCTG